TGTACAAAGCAGTCATCCCAATTTCCACTTAGTTTCTAGAATTAGTACTGGCCCAGTTATTTAGCAGAGACCTAGAAGATTTAATAGAGATTTTTTACTGTCTTCTATCACACTAGAAGTTTTGAAAAGATATTGCAATAAGCCTAGCTCCTTAGGTTTTGCTGTTAATGCCTGAAGGAGCCATTTCAATATCTTTCTTTCTGAAGGTTATTTGAGGAAACTTACTTTTGTTATAGGGACTGCAGCTGGCATTAAAGCAGTTGGCTGGGCTGCAGACAAAGGAGCCGGTGGAATCTGCTGTCGCTCTTGAGTCGTCACTGGAGGCTGCTCACAACTTTCAGCTTGTGTCTGATTTGTGCTTTGTTCATTTGAAGTTCCAGGGATGGGCTGCTGTGTTTCTGGTTATTTTAATATAGGAAATTTTAAAAGTTAGGTCTTAAATGTTGCAGTTAATTTCTTTCATGGTCAAATTGAACAGTTGTCAACAAAACCACTCTTCCACACACAAGTGGTACAAATAAATACAAACAAGAGCAGTTGTTACTTATAGCAACATTGATATCCTCATCAGCACCATTAGTGCCTCAGCTAGAATATTGTACCAAGTTCCACATTATTTGGCTTCAAGAAAGCTGTGGATTAACCTCAGACAAAAGATTAAAAAGGCATCACACTATACGCTGTACGTTGTAAAAACGTTCTTGCCAAGAAGAGAATCAAGTTCTTTTCTACAAACATGTTAAAGACCAGGCAGCAAAGGGTGCAAGCTGCATCACAAAGGTTCGAGGTTCCTAAGCATAGCTAGTACCTGCATATATGGCTGAGCAGTATTACAGCCCTCCACCACTGATCTGAGAACAGTTTAGACCAATGTTTTTCTATATTTGCTTTGGCTGGTTAGATTACTAATGTGTTTTCCAGCTGTTATGCTGTTTAGTTCCCATAGATGTTTACACCTATTAGTTTATATAACATGACACTGAGCAGCCCTATGACATTTTCTGAAATGGAAGTCAGTTGCCTTTTTTAAAAAAATATAAATCTTCTAAAGCCTTATAGCAGTATTGTTACTTGTCTGATTGTTCTGGAAAGAGTAGAAAACACCCCGGCTGCTCAAGGGTTGAGTTGTGACAAAGAGGATTCCCTGTTTCCAGCTTTTGCTTGCTTGGTATTTTAACAATTCAGGATAAAACACAGGCCTTACCTTCTGGCTTCTTTCCTTTTTTTTTTCCTTTACTGAGACTCACTAGTGTTTCTTCTGGTGGCATTTGGGCTATTTTCTGCGTAAAGACTTTTTCTAGTTCTTCAGCCATAAACACAATGTCATCACCTGGCTGCAAAATACGGTCAGTAACACTCAGGAAAGGAGAGACTGCAGTAGTGGGGGCTACCTCATAAAATAACCAGACTACAGGATCCTGCTCCAAGGATTGAAGAAAGCCACCAGTACCAGAGAGGTCTAGAAGTTCTTGCCATCCCTGCCCCCACAATTCACTTTAAAACAAATGACTTCACTATTGAAATACTTTTTCTCCCACTATCCCACTGCACAGTCCTTTTTTCCATCCCCATACATCTACAGCAAAGGGAAAAGGGGGCAGATCTTCAACTCCCTTATTTACTACTATGTCCTGAAGAAAGCTGTTGAAGCTGAAAGATACTGAGACACAGCCAACAAACATCCAAGCACAGGGAGATGCTCACACTTCATTAGGTTAAACTTATGGGAGGAAAACAGCATGGCTCATGATTGTTAGTGTTCAACTTGTACAGGAGTTACACAGCACTTGCAGAGTGAGCTGCATGGCTATTACCCAGAGATTTTGGAGGTGTAATCCTTGTACAACATTCAGTTGTTGTAACAGCAAGGGAGACTTTACTTACATGCCTTCAGTCAATCCTAGCAAAAAAGCCTCCTCTCCTTTCAGAGAAAATAGTTTAAAAAAAAAATCATGAAGACATTGACTTAGTGCAAGTTCTAATAACCATTTGCTTGTTTTAGACTTGTTTGGATTGTTCAGTAGAATCAGTTACTGGTAAGAGGCTGTGTTTCACATACCTTGTTATACATGTAGCAATTCAAGAACATAGTTTTAAAGTCTTCAATGCATTCTGCAGCTTTTGTGTAGTAATTGTGTTCCAGACGCTTTTTTATGGTGCCTAAGTCCATAGGTTTCTTTATAATACTGTAATAATCCTGTGGTATTGAAAGAATAAGTCACCAAACAGGTACCTTAATATTAGGACATTAAGATTTTTACACATTTAGCTATGAAAGTTGAGTTGCCAGAGAGGAGAACTGCATTATGTTAGAAGCAATATTTTATGTAAAAGAAAACTTTCCCCTGTAGCCATAGGTACCAAAAAAGTGGTCAGGAACTCTTCATCTTATATTTCCTCCTTGTTCTTTCATATAACATACACTATTGAAAGCCCTGAAGAATATTTATTTCAATAGAATCCAGAGCTCTCCTGGTACTAATAGTTATGAAAAGTATACACACTTCTCGTTTGTTATCTCAAAGCCATTTGCCTGAAGTAGCACTCTGGTTTACAGAACAGTGGAAAAAGAAGCCAAAGACAAACTTGGACAGAGACAAAGTCTCAGTCACTAACAAAAAAGCTGCCAAGTTTTCACAATTGCTGTCCAAATACTTTATTGCCTGGGTTATACTAGCTCTCCTCTCAGGGTTAGTCTAGTGAACATGTGGCAGTGACTGAAAGGCGGCTGGAATGTGAACTATTGTGATTATTTTAGTAGCATGGCTAAAAGCTTGTGGGTAAGAACATGAGGCTAATTCCCTAATGGTGCATTTAAGAAACTGGAACAGAAATATCCCCACTAAGTTCACATATACTTTGTGTGAAGTTACTACTATTCCAAGAGTGTTCTAAAGCTGTCCTAACAATCTGTGTTAGTGAAATAAAAAAGCTAAATACATTATAGTGTAGACTATTGAATTTACCAAAACACCACCAAGAACATTTTTAAATAATGCAGCTAATAATTATTGTCCATTCTGCCATTAGAAGATTCTAGTATCTGGAGGAGAGAGGTAAATGGGGCAAATACCTTTATTGTCCTTGCCATGGAGCCAGACATTTGCTTGCTATTGTGCAATGGTTGAACTAACACATACTCCTAGAAGTCAAGAGGCTGCCTTAGAAATCCAGAGAGGCAGAACTGGTCTGAAGCCAGCTGCAAATGTTGCTACAGCTCTGATGGAATGACCCTTAATATTAACCTTAACTGACAGCTCCTTCCAAGAAGGAAAAAGGGTAAGAAAAGACACAAGAAGATAGTCACTTTGACTGTGCTTTTGTACAAAGTGACCAAATGAGTTTGTCACAAGAAAACAGCCATAGATACAGGCTTTTGTCTGCTCTGAACAGAACAAATGATTTTGTACAATTAGTCTTGGAAATATAAGAGAAGTAAATATGAATGCTTAAGCTAGTGGAGAGGAAAACAGAAAACAATCAAAGGAAACATATCGTGGTTTTATTTAACACCTTTCTACTTATCTACCAAGAGTGGTATCTTCCAGGCCATTGAAATACCATTGTGTCAATAACCTATGTTTTCATTTGACTGAAAAACATCCAGAACTGGAGTCTAAAGATACCTGAATTAAAACAATTTTTCACAAGACATTATACACATGCACTTTATTACAATTAAGTTTTAACAAAAATAAAACCCACGCAGCAACACGGAACAAGAATTTACCATCATAACTATTTCCTAGAAGATGGTCTACCACTGTGGTATTATAAGAATCATATCTCTTCTTTTCTTCCCTGTTTTTACAGGGACATTTAATTCTTCTAGAAACTTCAGAGCAAGATGATTTGAAATTAACAAATACTGCAAGTGTAATGACTTCTATGCATCAAAATGGATCCAGATTTGCCTATTTACTTCAGGGTCAGTCAGATCTGTTTTCCCATCATAAAGTATTTGACATTGAGGCTGCCTCATATTAAAAATAAAAAACTCAAAGGCAAAAGAAAATACTCACCATATTCAGTGTTAATAAATGTCTAAACCAGAAGACAACAAGACAAATAACGCCAATATCCAGAAACTCTAAGAGGCTTATCTAAGCATTATTATTATCCCTTCAAAATACAGATTTTCTAGCCTCAATACAGAACACAAATTAGAAAAAATGCAGCATTTCTCTAGAAAGAAAACAGTTTTCTTGTAGACAGCAGTTCAAATGCAAGAGTAGTCTTCCATAACCTGTTGCATCAGAAAAAAACTGTTTTCAACTAACATTAATTCAAAAGTCCTCTAAATATTTTACTTATTAATACTCTTATTCCAAAATGGTTCTTACAGGAAGATTCAGCGCTGCTGCATCCACAGGCTGGTGAAATGGCCAGGAATAGTTGTGTCTCCACATGGCTTTCATGACCACCCTCCGTAAGTACTGGAGCTGGTTTGTCTGACAACCACTACTTTTGTTATTTAGGTATTCTGGTGGAGGAGGGTTAATTATAATGGAATGGTGTTGACTTGGAACAGACATCTTTAGTGAGTTTGTATATCCACTTGTTCAAAGATCATTATGCATCACACCTGAGGGAAAAAAAAAGACAGAAGTATTCAGTGAAGAATATCTGGATTTAATGGTGCTTACATGTTCCCTTCTGTTTGTAGAATGTCAATACTGTAGCTACAGGCATACCTTCATGTTCTAAGCAAAGCATGTGTTTTACAAAAGTACATATTTGGATATACTGCACCCCTAGAATCTAGAAATACATCCTAGCTTTCTGCTAAGAAAAACTGATAGCCTGCTTTTCATCATGCTATGAAGTATGTAATGAGTTTCAGAAAAGTTCATTATAAAGTAGAAAGCTACTGTTATCAGCACACTGCTAGAATAATATCTATGGCCCAATCTTACACAAACTGTAACATCTCATCAGATATTGCGTATCACACATCTTATGTTTTCATTTGTTCTTTATTTCAGCATTCAAAAGCATACTTCAAACAGCTCCTGAAGCTAAAGAGACATTCCAGTTTCTCCCCATGTGTGTGGACAACAGTTTGGGTTGGAAGAGACCTTTTAAACATCTAGTCCAACCCTTCTACCATGGGCAGGGACCCATTCTAATAGACCAGGTTGGTCAAAGCCCCATCCAGCCTAGCCTTGAATACTTTCAGGAATGGGACATCCACAGCTTCCCTGAGCAACCTGTTCCAGTGCCTCATTACCCTTGCAGTGAAGCATTTCCTCGTCATACCCAATGTAAACCTACTGCCTTTCAGTTTAAAGCCATTCCCCCTGTTCTATCACTACATGCCCTTGTAAAAGTCCCTCTCAGCTCTCCTGTAGCCCCTTTAGGTACTGGAAGGGGCTCTAATGTCTCCTCAGAGCCTTCTCTTCTCCAGGCTGAACAATACGAATTTTCTCAGCCTTTCTTCATAGGAGAGGCCCTTCTCTCTAATTATCTCATGACTCTTCTCTGAACTTGCTCCAACAGGTTTATGTCATTCCTGCACTGAGGACCCTAGAGATGGAAGCAATACTCTAGGTGGGATTTTCTGACAGTGGAACAGAAGGGCAGAATCACTTCCCCGACCTGCTGGCCACACTTCTTAGTTCACTGTAGTCATTTACAGAATGCAGATGTCTTTCCTTGAACAGTACTGCCATCAAGGTAAAAGCTCTCTTTTCTTCTTAAATAAGGAAAATGTATCAAACCTGAGTCGTTAATACCAGGAACAGTTCTGGACTACCAGCCAGCATACTTACATAGGACACTACATCAGTAATAAATGCAGTACAAGATCAGATTGTTTTGAGGTCCACAATAAATCAGGTATCAAAACTATTGCTATTTTTCATAGTACTGCTTTTGCAAAGGTAGTTGATACTTTGACCGCTCATTTGTACTTTCCACTGGAGATGTCCATAAGAGGGAACCCAGCCAAGATGGGGTACTGGGAACAGCCTGATTGGCCTTGTCCTTCCAGTCAGTGCAGAACCCTGCTTGCCCCCTGGCACAAGCCAGTGACAAACTCCCCAGGCACCTTCTGTTGATGCAGTACCACAGTTAAGCATTCATATTGCTCTCCCTCTGTGCAAGCAACATCCTTCTGTTTACATTTAGAGTTCACATACCTTGGAAAATAGCAACACCTGCCTGAGATGAAGAATGAGTGCAAATGTAATTTCTATTACTAAGTACACCACCTCAGGCTCTGCGTGTCTGTTATTCAGATGGAGACACACATCTAATTTCTTGAAAATTTTGTAAATTAGTACAGTAGAGTCTAGAAAAAAAAGCACAAAGAGTGACCAAGGAAACCAGGAGACTGAAGTTTTGTACATAACACAGTCTTAGGCCTAGATGCTTAGCTTTTAAAACCTTAACTTATGTTGTGGAAATCAACTTCCATGCCAATAGGAGAGCTAAGACTGCATCATCTGAAGGATAAACAAAAGTTTGTGTTTTGGTCAATCCCTCCTTTACTACCTCCCTCTCCATCTCCCCTTCTCCCTAGTCACATAACACTCCTTCCTATCTTAAAATAAAACCTGTGTTTGCACACTAAAGCAAAAGTGTGATCAGATTCCAGCTAGATAAGTTGTTTGATCTTTTTTCAAACCCCCCCTTCCTAGCTCTGTGTGTCCTTGAGCTGCTGAAGCAGATCCCAAAGGTCAAGTAGTCTTCAAAGAGAAGTCTTGAGTGTTTCCTTAAGGCCTAGTTTGAAGTTTTTAGCTAACCTGATAGAAGTGTCTTTTTAGTTTAAGAATAAAAGGCAAATAGCTTACATGAGTTACATTTCTAGAGAAGTCAAGGCTTTTAGCAAGATATCATATCTTGTGAGAATCACACTTCTTTCCTTTTTTTTTTTTAAGAAAAGGTTATTTGCTCTCACTGATAGCTCTCCAAAAGCATGCATTAGCAAGCCTCCTGAAAAGGCAGCTATTTCCTTTTGTTTTAGCTGAGCATTATAGCTACCAGCATAGAACCTGCATATATCATATACTAGTCAAGAACAGCAGCTCAGAAAAATATTAGCATACCATATACAGAACAAAGGCAGACAGTCTACCAAACTCTACACCCAAAGAACATTTGATTCTTCAAGGTTTTTTTAACAGGTTTTTTTTAGGTAATAGTCAATAATCACACTGAAGTTTCATAAATAATCTTGGAACCTCCCATATGTTGATATATTAGAACTACCCAGGACAGAGTACAGCCTTCTTACTACAAGTAGCACAATCTCTTCTCTCAGAAGGACAGCTATCCCCTTAAAGACATCCATAAAAAAGCATTTCCTTATTTTTATGAGCTCTCCTGGGGTACATCAAACAAACCTTATATTTAAAGACAATCTGTATAAATATTAGGTGCTAAGAAATCACTGACTTAGAGCTACTACCATAACCAGCCACCCTTGAGCAATTCAAAACTAAACTTCCACCCTCAGAGCAGGCCAGTCATCTTTTTTACCTTAGTTTTAGGGAAAGCCACAACTCACTTCCTCCCCCCCTGAAAGATGAAGGAAGAACAGAGCTTTAGAAGACAGACACAGAAGTCTTTATAACCTAATCACACCTTCATTTTATTCTCTAGCAATAACAGCCACACACCTGCAACCCTGACTAAAACCTGCCCTATCAATGGTCCTCATTGAGAAGTTATCAACATAAAAAAGGAACAGCTGTTAAGGGCTAAAACACACCAGATGGTTATTTTGCCAGACCTGCTCACTCATTAGTTAATAACACGAGGTGGAGGGATTAAAAAAGAGGAATTGGTATACTTAGATCAAATTTGGTTTGATTTTCCTATCTTAATTTTAAAGTCTTAAATTTAACATAATGGAATGCTTATGTTTTATTGATTATGCAGGGTCATACTGTGCTATGTTGTAAGAGCAGTACATAAATAGTATGTCTGGTTAAGAGCTGGCTAGTATTCATACCTTCCTTCATATACAGATTCATTACTTAAATTAAACCCAAATATATTTAGCAAATGCATAGTAGTGTAAAAATGAGGGCCAGGTTGTTTCCTAACAAATTTCATTTGTTATCAGTAAAACTACAAAGGAATTTACCAAGCTTATTTTGAATTTTAGCTATTGACTAAGCTTTTGTTTATTTCAGTAGACCTTAAAAGCTTCATCCCCAGCATGCTTTAGAATAAGGTAGCTCTGCAAAACGAGATTTGTATTTAATTCAGGTGCATGTCCCACTTTAGGATCAGAACCTGCTTGGATTCTTATCATGAAAGTAATTTATCTGCATACTTTTTTTATTTTCTCTTTTTTTTTTTTTTTTTAGCAAGGTGTCTGAGTGAATGGACCAACTGTACTTGGATGACTTTGTTTTTCTGGCAAAAGCATGAAGTACTTGTATAGGATCTAAAATATCTAGGCAGATCCGGCATGTATTATTACTTAAGCAGCCCAATCTGTTAGGATATGGATGAAGTTGTTGGGGGAAGCATTTGTTTGCTGCTTCCTCTGGCACCTCTTCTAAGCTGTGAGTAGTTAACACAAAGTTTATTCTTTATAGGTGATAGGAAGAGGATGTTTTTACTGGGATGTAAGGAATTCCTATATTTGAAGCAGAACAAGTACTAGAAACCTCATTCAATAAAGCAAAGCAAGGAAGGGGAGTGGAATTCTCTGTAGGTAAGTCTCAGGGTTTGCTGAATGGAGTGATTTCCTTACTAGAAGATTGTTACTGAGGAGTATGAAGTTGTGTTACTATTGATGGGATTGGACAGTGAGATGGGAAGGACACTAGCAAAAATCCCAGTAGTGGCAAAAGAAAACAGAAGCTGTTGTCCATTGAGCAGACTTGTTTGCTCTCTTATTTTGCTTTCTGCTCTTAGCTTCCAGACTGTAACTGCTTAATCCTCCTCTGAATCTGCTCACGTCTTGTAAAAATTTAAGTCAGTTGGATCTGGTGGGCTGTACTGTGAATGGGGAAAAACTGTGTTTGAAAACTATACTGGTTTGGTTTGTAAATACTTAGAAAACCAAGTTTTAATGAAATCACTACCTTTGTGTAACTGATATTAAAATAAGCTGAAAAAGAATGTACTACAGTAATTTTTGATTCATTTAAATACTATGTGGGAAAAGGCAACTTTGAAAAATGTTGCAGTGTTCATTGCTGGCTCCCCAGTCGCAGCACTTGCTACGTGGTCTGAGTCTGGCTGGCTGTGGCCTGTAGGCAGGTAGCTCCCAAAAATACTTTTGGCAATTCTCCCAAAGGTGACAATTGGGTAGAGAGGAGAAGAAAACAATAAAATAGTGGAAAGAGGTGGTCACCTTTATGCTTTTGTCCTCATCCAGTGTCTGCTATTTCCAAGACAGTCCTAGTGCCATCCACTTACATGACAGATTAGAATGACATTCCTGACATGCTTCAGAAAATGAATTTTTACAAGTCTGATAGGATGGCTGAGATGGAGTGGTATTTCAGTGCAGACTTGTTGACAGTTCTCTCTTCCTGCAGTGGGTTAGACTGTATCTTTCTGAAGACACTTCATTCTGTAAAGAGTTTTAATCGCTTCTATCTGGGAGACTGTAAGACAATGTCCAAGGTAGTAGCCTGAGACTTCATTAACATGGTGAATATCATGGAAACAGATTATATTATTATATTTGAAATGATTCATCTGTTTGGAATGTGAAAGCAAGTATCACTGATCATTCTTAAATGTCTGCTAAGGCAGAAAATCTGAGTGGGATTTGATCTACTGAACAAAGGCATTTGAAGGTCCCGTGGGTAGAAGGTAAATTTTTAAATGCTTGCTCAGAAGATGTGAAATAATGAAGTATCTATTTCTTTTCATCTTTAAATTTATATCTTCCTACAGGGCATGTTTATCCCTTGCCACGGATCTTGTTAGCTGAGGTTTGCAAGTTTAATACTTTCTGGTGAAAATTTCACTTACAGATAGCCATTTATCCCTGAATCATGATGAACTCTTCCTGATTATAAACATCTGTATAAAAATCGGCTAGCCCTGATAAACACTGCCAATTACAGACTGGGTCAGTGTTGACAGCTGAGGTTCAGCAATTAAAAACTAGTATTCTAAAAAAGCACCTAATTTGAGCTGACAAGGAGGGATTTGTTGGGTTTTTTTAAACTGACTGGAAGGACCTCACTGACTTTAATCTCCTATGTCCTACATCACTTGTAAAATGTTTAAGCTATGTCGTAAGGATAGCTGGATTTTCATACCTGTTGTACTTTTTCAAAAATGTTTGGATAATTCCCTGGAGACAGTGAACTGGTGAGAGTGCTGTTGCAGTCATTCCCATAGCAGTTCTCTGCACTGTGTCACCTGCATCTGTTCTGAATAGGATTTCATGACATGGGACATGAGCTAACCAGTGTTTACTTTCTCTTATTAGTTTAAAAACAACTCTCAAGGTGCTGTTGCACGTAGTGCTGCATTTCAGCAATATTGTCTTCTCTGTGTTTGGAACAGAACACTGAACAAAGGCAAATGCTTTGCAGAATTGTATGGACTGTATTCTGCAAATCAGATCTTAGGGAGAAATGGGGATAAGTGAAGCAAGATCATCAAATTCCTGACACTTTTTGTCTTCTCCCTTGCTCTACATTTGCCTTTTAGCACTTTGTAGGTTTAATCATGTATGGAGTGTACTGTCCTAGATAGTAGTGCAATTTGATGTGATATGTTAATAGTTCACATTGATATATGCTTACTTTGTGGGTTTGGCTGTTGCTTTGACACCGCTGCATCAGCCTCACAACACGTGAAATGCAAACGATTTATTTTAATTTATAGAAGTTGAATGGTATTTCCCAAAAGTATTTCCAGCATGTTAATTTTCTTCTCCCTGGGAGCATTTAAAGCACTGCTTTGCCCAGTGAATGCTGTGTGACAGGACCCT